TTTTTTTTTTTTTTATCTGTTTGTAAGTATACGTAGTTGTTCCTAACATAGTCTATTATTACTAGTGCACCCTTCATGCTCACCCAGCATGCTGACTTGACATTTATGTTTCTTCTATTAATTTCCCCCTCAAAACTCGATTCTCCTTAGTCAGACAATTCTTGTAGGGTGATGAAGATCTCATTCTTGTTCATGAAGCTCTTGACTATGGGGACTGTCGTTTATCACTTGCAGTAATTTAGACATTCAGAACTCTAGAAAATTGAGAACCCTTCTCGTCACATGCTTTTCTCACTTGTATTGTTGGGATAATAATTTTATTTGTTGTATCAGATCCCCAAGTATGGCATATTTGAGAACATAAACTCTTTGAAAGAGCTGGCTCGGATGCCACAGTGGACATCTGAGAAACCTCTAAGAGTTGCCACCGTATTTTACATATGTAAGATTATCTTGTCCTTTTTTTTCCTTTTGTATTTATATCATATTGCATCGAAAATTTGCAGTTGGGTCCTAAGTTTATGAAGGTAATGGATCGGAACATGTCACCTTTTCGACTGCTGATGAAGCTCTGAAAGCTGCTCCCGCTGTACGTATTGGATTATTTTTATATATAGTACATGTTCCTTATAGATAATTGTTAGATGTATGGTTTTTGGTTCGTTTTAGACGTCATAGGTTACTTCTAGCACAGTAGCACTCGCCTTTTATCTTCTCAGTTCTCTTACATTGAATTGTTTACTTCTTGTAAAGGTGAAGAGTAGGCTGCATAATTCTCTAGAAAATCCAGGAGAAGATCACTAATGCAAAGCTTATACATATGACTTTCTGATGTATATTTATACCTATATTAGAATGTACAAATAAGAGGCTGAAATATGCAATTTAAGGTAAAGGTGAAACATTATAATAATGCTGGATGTTAACGGGAAATTCTGTCATCTTACATCCTAGGAAAACTATGTTGGCTCTATTTAGTTATTTGGACTCCAGAAACTTCTAGGTGTCATACGGGGTTAATTTCAATACCATCCCAATATGGAAGATTGAAGTAAGAAATATATCCAAATTGGATTTAGCGTAAGTATCATTTGTGAGCATAAAAATTTTTCTAAAGTGGGAAACTTAAAATATTTTTTTCCACAATTCTACTGTTCATCACATTTAAGGTCTCCTTTTAGCGTAGCAATTGTTGCTGGCAGTGCTTGCATGATAAAGCAATCAATTAAATCCTGTCCTGGTGTATCCTTTTACAAATAAGTCGGTGGTATCAGATCAGAAGCCAAAAAATTGTGATATATGGGATGCAATTTAGATGGTTAAGAAAGATATTTATGTAGGACTTTGGCAATTCTCAGTTGGTATAGGTAGGTATCTGAGGAAGAACCTGGAGATGCCTTTTACTTGCTGTGCTATTTTAGTTCGTCAGAATTTATTTGGACAAACGCCACAGTAATCACTTTTCCTGATATTTGCACATTTCTGCTAACATATACGTGTAAATTGGCTGTAGAATCAATAAACCACTGTTCACCTGAATAGTCTGATAGTGCTGACTCCATCTTGGATGTTATCTTTACATACTGTTATTGAAGTTTGCTAATTGATTGTGTTTCTACTTGAATGCTAGGTTTCACGGTTTTCTTAACTGTAACATTACTGCAACTTATAATAACTTACTAGTTTTTATCGTGTGTGCTGTCATGTGATCTGTACACCCACAGATGACCCTTAATACAAATACTTGTAACCTAAAAAAACTCTGTTTCCACTATCCTCTTTTACCTCTAGATGGGGGTAGCTGATGCTATTGTGGACTTTGTGAGTTGTGTAACAACGTTGAGAGAAAACAACTTGAAAGAGATTGAAGGCGGAGTTATCTTGGAAAGTCAGGTAAATGCTGCATTTATGTTATTCAGTTCTAATGTTATCTAAGACATAAAAAATGTAAATTAGATCCCATCTGAAGCTATCTGTTTGAAAAATATGATCTCCTTCGAAAAATGGTTTGATTATTCTGTGTCTTCTGATTTCATTGCATTGTTCATTTCAGGCTGTTCTTGTTGGTAACAGAAGGTCGCATTTGAGGGCTGCTGGCCAGTTCATGGTGCGGACCACTAATTATTTGTATAATTACAAAACATACCCCCCAAAGTTTAACATAACCAGAAAAAGCTCCAATTATCTTTACAAAATCACAAATACCAATTTAAAGCGATACAAACATCCACTTGAGGTATTGTATTTACCCTGCGAAATGCCCTGTCTTGAAGGGCTGGGAAGATAAACAAATGCATGGTGGTATCTATCTGTAATTTTAAAAGGTAAAACTGCTTTTTATGATTAGGACAATATCATGGTAGCTTATATAGTTTGACTGCTGTTTTCTAGTAAATTATGTCTTCCACTGTTTTTTATTTTTAGGTAACGGCTAACATGAGGGGAATTAGTGCAGATGAAGTGGATGAGCGTGTGCTTAGCCAACCGTCTCTATCTGGTCTGCAGATCTTCAACTTGTCGTCCTTTGTGCATATTTCTAATCTCTGGATTGTGTAAAATTGTGATTTGACACCTCTTTCTATTTCGAACTATTTTTTCATCTAATATCAAATGCAGGGGCCCACTGTAAGCCCTGTTTTCTGTAAAAGTATATTCAGCAGCTTAGGGCGGTGAGTGATTTTTCGTTAGATTGTACTGAACGTGTACAGGAATTCACATATAAGTAAGTGGTTTTCGCTATGGAATTTCATAAAAGTGGTGGAAGCTGGAACTATCTTTTCGGATTTTCTTGTTTGCATTGAGATTGTACATTTGCTTACCAACAGAGGTCCTGTCTTATGTCAACTCCTCCCAGTTTCTGTTTTTCTTTATATATATCTAAATTGATAAAGGAAATTTTGTCTTTTATTTTTTCTCTAGTTCATTTTGAATATGTTTGTTGTGCAGATTGGACTTTGGAGGTAGTCGGGTTCTGGTTTCCTTTTTGATCTACATTTTCGAAGTGGAAACACCTAGATGGTGCAAACATCTCTCGAACTTGGGGCTTCGATTATTTTTTCAAATGTTTTCACATTTTTGGAACACAAGTCAAGGAACTAAAGATAGTATTGGATTAAGAGACTGTGAATGTATGTGTACTTACAGGTGTAGCAGAGTGTCCTAAAAGAGTATCATTGTAGAACTTAGATACTATTATTGTTTCTTTATATTGAATAACTATAGATTGTTGTGGTGGTGCTGCATTTTTGTGAACCCTGAACGATATGGTTTCACATATGAATAAGTTATGCCCAGGCCTCGTTTGTTTCGTGTGATAGGATTAGACTAAATTAATACGGGGTTGGTAGATTGTATTGTGCATACTAAATTGTATTTCTGTCTGTTATCTTGATAATAATGAATGGCATAAGAATATCATTGACAGTTTTCTGCGCAACACTTAATAAAAAGACGGGAGAAAGAGCAAATGCAAATAGGCCAACAAAATTTACCAAAACAGCAGAAGGTAGTAATTCTCCTTTTTCAGTTTCCTATTTGCCCCTCCCCCAATTCAAGCAACTCCATTAATCAATACGAGGTAACTCCATTTGATTGTTTCATCATCGAATAGAAAAAAA